TTATTCCAAACAATCCAATACAACTAAATAAGAAATACCATTAAATCATTAATGGCCTTAATTTCTCTCTTTTGAGTGTCTTTTGTCAACCCATCTTATTCCTGTCGTTTTTTTTAAAGTATTTTTTGGGGCTTTTATTTGCTTTTTCTTTATTATAGTGACAGCTGAAGACAGACAGAAAGGGGGGCAGAGAGAGAGGGGATGACACGCAGCAAAGGGTTGCAGGTCAGATTCAAAACCCTGCGCTGCTGCAGCAAGGACTCAGCCTCGGTACATGGGTCCCCAGCTCTACCCACTGAGTTAACCGGGCACCCAGGGAGGTAGTTTTTGATGAAGCAGGACTGAGCTAAAAGTTGACTGCGCCTCCATCATCTTTCTGCATAGACATCCTGTGGAAGAGAAGCATCTCGCTGCCCATGAGAAGGAGATTTGGGGTAATGGAGTCAGGATCTGCTATATTACAGATTGCATAAATGGTAAATAGTAAATGGACCTGTACTTATATAGTTTCCTTTCTAGTCTTCCGACCACTCAAAGCACTTTTACACTACAGACACATTCACCCTTTCACACATTCACTCAGTGATGGTAAAGCCCATCAAACAGAAACTAACGCATTCATACACATTCAATTCAGGGGTCAGTATCTTGCTCAAGGATACTTCAACAAGGAACGGGAGGAGCCGGGGATTGAACCAACAACCTTCCGATTAGTGGACGACTGGCTCTGCCTCTGAGCCACAGCTGCCCCTAGCGGAGTCACATTGTGCTAGATATTGTAATATAGTTAGTATTTCTATTCTTAAACATCGTGTGAGCAACTGTAACAAACTAATTTCCACCTGGGGATCAATACAGTTTTGCCTATTTCTGATTGAGTGATGATTTATTAATTGATGGCGAAGAGTCTCTCACCTTTCTGCTCCTTCAGGTAATCTGCGTTTTGTTTCATCCACAGCTCCGTCTTCACCTGAACCTCCTTCTCATTCAGGATGTACTGCAGGAGGAGGAGGAAGAGGAGTAAGAGGAGGAGGAGGAGACAGTTAGGGTCAAGAAGACACCACATGCATACAACCTTTCACAGTAAAAATAAAAAAGGTAAAATGGACTGTACTTGTATAGCGCTTTTCTAGTCTTCCAACTGGTACATATCACAGGGTGAAACAGGGTGAGAGAAGGTGAGATGATCAATACAGATCAATACAGCAGTGATTGGGGAGTGAACAGACCTTATCAATCTCCTGATCATCGATACCATCCAGGTCCAGCTCTCCACCCTCCGACTGCTCGTCTGTAAACAAATACCATGAGTCCATCAACTTTCTGTCAGTTATCTCAGGACAAACAGAGTAGGTCTAGACCGTACTCGCAGAGTCTCAACAGGTCCCACCATGAGCAAGCACTTGGCGACGGCATAAGGAAAAACTTCATTTTAAGCGGCAGAAACCTGAGGCAGACCTGCCTAGTTACGGGTCAGTTTCTGTTCTTACCATCTGGTTTCTCGCCCGTCTCCGACTCGTCCAGTGTCTGTTGAAGGCCCAAGCTAGCGGCGCTTGGCAATTTTCCCAGGATGGCTGCTAGAGGGGCAGCCTGCCGCTGAGACCCCGCCCCCTCCATATCTGGCCCCGCCTCCACCTCATTGTCATCTGTCTTCTTGCCCCGTCCCTCCTCCTCCTGGATCACCTGGCACAGGAAGTCCTGGGTCAGGTGTTGGGTGGCGGCTTGGAGTTCGTCATCTTCGACCTCCGGCTCCTCGGGGTCAGAGGTTGAGGACAAAACCTCTGCTTCCTCTGGGTCTGAAAGAATTAAAGAGTTAAATATTTCTGTACAGGTGATCAGATAGACTGAGCTGACTGAGGATCAGTACAGACCGATCTCTTTGGCGTAGGCAGCGTAGATTCCTCTCAGTTTGGGTCGACTCTTTTCCAGCTCGGTCTCAATCTCATCTTTGTAGCAGCTGATCTCTCCTGTCAGGTGAAGGGATTGAGTCCATAAAATTATCTAAATAGTTCCCTAAGTATCATCTACAGTCCTAAACAATTCCCCTAGTGTACTTTATAGTGTCCCAAACAATTCCCCTAGTATATTTTATAGTGTCCCAAACAATTCCCCTATTGTACTTTATAGTGTCCCAAACAATTCCTCTTTATAGTGTCCCAAACAATTCCCCTAGTGTACTTTATAGTGTCCCAAACAATTCCTCTAGTGTACTTTATAGTGTCCCAAACAATTCCCCTAGTGTACTTTATAGTGTCCCAAACAATTCCTTTAGTGTACTTTATAGTGTCCCAAACAATTCCCTTAGTGTACTTTATAGTGTCCCAAACAATTCCTCTTTATAGTGTCCCAAACAATTCCTCTAGTGTACTTTATAGTGTCCTAACCCTAACTCTACATGTTATAATGTACTTAACAATTACACTACTGTCCTGTATAGATAGTGTCCTAAATGGTCCCTACTTCAGTGAAAGTGTACTCCTTTAGTGCCTTTATAAGTGATCCCTTTTTTGGAAGTGTCCTGAAGTGAAACTGACCTTCGACGTCATCCAGCTTCCTGGCCAGCTCCTGTTCCAGCTGCAGAGGAAGAGGATATTAAAGATGATGGATCGGTCACTGATCATTGCTAAACTGTTGTCAGCAGCCAATCAGAGACAGGGGGATCTACCTGCTGCATCTTGGCTTTGTGCTGTGCGGCGATAAAGGAGGGTGGATCACATTCTTGCTCCAGATCTACTTTCATGAACTCATCAATGGTCAGCTGACTGGTGGGCGTGTCCTCAAACTCTGTTAATCTGAAGGGAGGGAGAGAGGACCCTGTAATCTACAGTGATCTATATAATCTATTACAACCTACTGTAACTTATTACAACCTACTGTAACCTATTACAACCCACTGTAATGTATGATAACCTACGGTAATCTACAGCTATCTACTGTAATCTATTACAACCTACTGTAACCTATTACAACCTACTGTAATCTACAGCTATCTACTGTAAACCTACTACAACCTACTGTAATCAATTACAACCTACTGTAACCTACAGTAGTCTATCGTAACCTACAGTAATCAATTACAACCAACTGTAACCTACAGTAGTCTATCGTAACCTACAGTAATCTATTACAACCTACTGTAATCTACTGTAATCTACTACAACCTACTGTAATCAATTACAACCTACTGTAATCTATTGTAACCTACTGTAATCTACTACAACTAACTGTAACCTACGTAATCTACTACAACCTACTGTAATCAATTACAACCTACTGTAACCTACTGTAATCTATTGTAACCTACAGTAATCTATTACAACCTACTGTAACCTACAGTAATGTATTACAACCTACTGTAATCTACCAGAGCTCTCACCTCTTCCTCAGAGTAGTCTGGCAGACCTTCACCACACTGATCACATCCTTCACCGTACGACGAAACTTATGCATTCGAGCTGCTACCAGGAGAGCTGAGGAGGAGGAGCAGGAAGAGGAG